CACCAATGAGGCTAATTGAAACAGCCCCTCATGAAAGCACAACCATTTAAAGTTAGAAAATTTTCACAGAGCAGCAAAAAAAAATATTTCTAATTAATTACATGAGTTGAAGAGAGAAGCTTAGAAAACCTATTAATGTTGTCCAGAGTTCAGCTTTAAAACAGGTCCCATTAATCTGCACTTTTCGTTTTAATGTTATCCTGCCACTTTTGTTGTTGTTTTTGTACTAAAACCTATTCCACGCTCTGCCCCTGAAGAATAAAGAACCCCGCTCTCCCTTATCCATGTCACAGAGACAAAGCGAGTGAGCGCAATGTTCCATTTCCAGACTGTACAGTATGGCGACAAGGACAAAGTGCTACATGCTCTGACAATGGTTATTAGACGATTTCAGCCTGACTGCCTGAGCTCAACCTGTTGCTTGGATAAAGCCTGAACCGCTGTGACTGTCAGCACATTTATCATCTCGTGGCATTATCTTTCTAAGTGTTATGAAAATATGACTAATTTCCCCGAGGTGACAAGACTATTTGTGTCATTCTCTTGCTTCGGGAGATTTGTAATAAAGGCCGGTGTTGGGAATGAAATTGTTCATTATCTGCAGCTGATAATTACTAGAAAGATGGTTTGATCTACTTTACCCGTGATTAAAGAATTTCAGCTTTATCAGAGCTGTCAGCCATTGGCCTGCCAGTCTTCTGTATCTGTGCCAAGAGCATGGTGGAGCGACTGCTCTTTTCTGAATTTTTCACGGGATACAAGAAAAAAAAATGTACTCTGTTGGGCTAATGTGCAAAGATAAAGGGATAAAGAAAACTGGAGCAAAAGTGGAGAAGTCGACCAGAGCAATAGGTTTTCCTTTTCAATGTGTAAACCCAATCACCAAAAACTTATATAAGCTTTATCATGTTAACGAAGATTCAAAAGTCATTATCAACATTTTTAAATCTGCAGTTTTTATTAAAATAATACCTGGTGATCCTGCCATGTATGTCCTTGTTTAGGCATTTTCTTTTATAGGGGGACAATGCTGTCCCTGCCTTCTCAATGTGCTCTTGCATTGTCACCCTGACCCACGGGTTTCCACTGGAGGCTACAAATGTCCGTGCCAAACACACATTACGCGGTTATGGTCTGTTGTCACTATGAGAAAGCCCACCCTAAGAAATTCCATGAAGCCATCGCTGGACTGTGTGCATATGGAGAGGAAGTGGCTGCAGGAGATCAGCAGCACTAAGATGCAACAAAGGATTAAACAGTATTTTACGACTCACCATTGTTATTGATGCACAGTGCTATAGCACAGCCTTTCTCAATTGGGGTGCTGCAGAACCGTGGAGGGTATTTAGGCTTCCTTTGAATCAATACAAGGAGCTGTAGGAAGCTCATATAAAGACAGACTGCCTACATTTCTGCTTTAATTTCCTTAGTTCTCATTTGAATACTGGCATATAATTAAATTATGGTTGAAAAGGCAGTGTTTATAAATCGGTTACCTTGTTTCAGTACTTAATTTACCTAATTGTTTTTGTTCATTTTGCTATCATTTTTTTTTCTTCATTCAGTACCTTTTCTGGTCATTTGTAGGGTCTGTATAATTCAATCAGGGTTTTAGTTGCATAACTGGAGATGGGGGTATCATCTGTATTTTCACTACCATAGTTTCAGCTTTTACTTGTCATCTGAAATCTAACTGGTGGCAGTGATGGACAACACTGCCATTCCCACTGGGAACCTGTCAGGAATGGTATAAATAGATAGCCACAGTTATGTGAGAGCTGGAATCTGTATGATGCTTGACGCTTTCTAAGGGAATTCTTCCTTCCCACCTTTACATAATTTTAGTGGAATCTTATTTACAAAATATACAAAATAAAAAATCTAAAGTAGTAGATAGTGAAATATGTGTATCAACACACATGAAACAGGGCAGTTTATGTATAATAAGTATGCAGTATTTATGCACCCACACATCAAAGCTTTGGGCACTTAAATAAAAGGATGTACCATACACCAAATTAACATTGTGCAGAATTAAAGAAGAGACACACATTTTTATTTGTTTCATGTAAAGGGCACCCATAATTTGAAGGGTGAAAAACATACCCCTTTAGTATAGAGTGGATCAGCAGTATCCTGTACGTTCCTTTAAAGGGGAATTGAATACAGAAAATGGTATGAAATGTATTTCAGTACAGCATTGCATGACTGAATAAATGTCAAAGTACTGCAGTGCTGAATACTGAAAAATGGCCTGGCCAGGAAGGGGGTCTAAACACCAGGTCAGCAAGCAGTTAACAACAAACGCAATATGTTGCATGTCACATCAAAAATCTAATATAACACTTTTTGGTAATTGTTAGAGTCGCTTGAAGTTATGCTTTAAGGGTACTTTTACGCATGCGTTGAGAATTTAATGAAAGAGCAATGCTGATTAACTCGTCTATAGCGTTAACAAGGCGTTCGGCTGGCATTTTCAAGGCATTAAGCTGGCATCAAAAACGCTGACAAAATGCCCTGCAAGTAGGGGAGTGTGTTAAAGGGTAAAGTAATGTAGTAAAGGGAAGTGACTACACTTCTATATTTTTGAAGGCGTCACAGTAGCTGGGCAGACTTGGGTCATACAATTTTGGGTATTGCTCAACTGCTTGAATTGGCCGTTCAACATTTATTTCAGACATGACTAGTTCTGGCTGGTACTTGCAATGCCTGGCAATGGTATGGTTGGCACTGCTAAGCTGCCACTCGTATGGCTGGCACTGATAACAGCTGGCTCTACATGGTGGCATAGGTCAAGCCGTCACAGGTTGCAAGTACCTTGCTAGAAGCTGTGTTCTTCCTGGCAAAATACTGGCTGTGTGCAGACAGGCAGTGGCATCTGCACCTTCTCTGTCCACTCACTCTATGATTCCCCTGTGGTTTCTGGGATTGCAAAACCTCCTATGTCTCTCCTAAAACACCTGTGCAACACTTTTAATTGTTCAAAAAAATGCTGTAGGAGCATTGTCTGATCATTTGAGGGGTGTTTCAATGTACTTCAATGGAGGCAGTATTCCAGTGGCAATGCCTCCAGAACGCAGCATGTACTGTATTTTTTGACACACAGCAACACTTCACATTGCTAACGCCCATGTGTGAACAGTACTCGGCGGTTGCTATTGCTTTATTCCACATAGGTTTTAATAGGCAGCAGAGAGGAGTTAAAAACGCTTCTATAATGCCTGGTTTTAACACGTGTGTGAAGGAGGCCTAACCGAAAAGCATTCCTCATGTTTATTGGCTAACAGTGTATGCTTGGTTTCAACTTTTGTGACAAAAACTTTTGCACACTATTGCTATACAGCAGCAAGAGATTAAAGCATGAATGTATGCAAGTCAGGCAGAGCAGATTATGACAGATCAAGCAAAGCCAGCTTGATTGTGCGAAGGTTACCGCATGGCAGTAGTTGAAATCCTGGCAAACCTGTTGGTAGTTGGGAGTTGACATTTAATTACATCTGGGATCATTAGCCACATGCCTAGCAATGCTGAGCCAATATTTACAGCAGTGAAATTGAAACAAAATTTGTGTTTAAATCACTGTAACTTATTGGGAGCTGAGAGTCTCGGGAATAATACTGGCTGTTGGCACCACCAGGTCTTCCTGCCTTTGGGAATATTAGGGATAAATCTAGCCCAGCTTTTCACTGAGCTGTCTTTGGAATGTGAATGTAAAATATCCCTGGCTGAGTCCCGGTGTACCTCTATCCATCTTCACGTGTGGACATTTTCTGTTTCTGTTCTTACAATTTTCATTGCTACGTGTCAAAAATGAAATTACAGCATGCATTACTAAGCTATGAATTTTTTACAGCGAGCAATAATTGTATTTAGGAGGAAAGGCTTAGGCATTGTATCAAATAATGTGAGAGGCTAGATACTTCTATGTTTTCATATGCAGAAATCGAAAACATATACAGGGCCGGCCTTAGGGGTGTGCGAGCAGTGCGGCCGCACAGGGCCCCATGGCAACAAGGGCGCCGTGCGGCCGACACACCTCGTCCTGGGAGCGGCTTCTCTCCCCCTCACCGCTGGGCGCTGGCCATCCGATATGACAGCGCTCCCTCGTGCCCGCAGCTGTCAGGATGGCCGAGCGGTGAGGAGATCGGAGCCGCTGTCATCCTGTCAGTTTCAGGATGACAGCGGCTCTGTGCATGGCTGAGCGGAGGATCGGTAAATATCAGTGATATTTACCGGTCCTCCATATAGGCAACAAACTTGATCCATCCAGACACACAATAACTGTGTTTAGCAGGGCAGTGCACACATGCAGGGGGACTTTGTACAGCAGGTCCATTGGATAAAAGAACTAAACTAAACTAAAAGAACTAAAACTTGCCTGAGCTTCTAACTAAACTTAGGTCAGTTTCCAACTAACAGGAAAGCCCCCAAATGGCTTCCCAAATACAAACGGACAGCACATGTGCCTTTTTAGTGTTCTGTTAGCAATCTGCGTTTTCACAAAGCAACAGGCCCCCACAGCAAAGAGAGCAGGATTGTCAGACTGAGCAACAGTTTTTTTTTGCCTTCCTCAGAAATCACACAAGACTCATATTCTCCCACATACACACACACACACATAGATGTTTAACTTGCTGAACATGTGTCTTTTTTCAACCTGATCAACTATGTAACAAAGAGTGGAAACTCTTAAAAGCAATAAATAGCAATAAATAAGAGCCAATTAGAATTCATCTTGTATTGTTCTGCTTTCTACAAATTCTTATATATTAATAATGTCGCTTTTTTTTTTTTTTTTAAAAAATAGGGCTGTAAATATGTAATTCAGGAGGGCTAGAACTTAAGACCTACAGTAGATGGGCAGTTTCAATTATTTATTTTAGTGACTGTTCCTAGAGTATGTTACACAGTACATTTTGGAAATTAGGATTTAATTAATTGTTTTCCACTTATTAATTCATTATGTTCTTACTTATTTTATTGTATATCTCTTTTGACAGTTGCTTTTTCAGGTCTGGGATTCACCTCCTTCTATCTGGCAGGAAAGCTGCATTGTTTTACAGAAGTGGGGCAAGGGAAAAGCTGGCGTCTCTGTGCTGCCATTCTGCCTTTATATTGTGCTATGATGATTGCCCTGTCACGGATGTGTGACTACAAACATCACTGGCAAGGTAAGTGGTCTTTACATTATGAGCACATAATGTGCTACAGCTTGCTGTTTTTATTTTTGACCTAAAGATTAATTAAATCAAATAACCTCCCAAATCTTAACCATAAGTAAAGATCTCTACTAATAAAGATAAGCCAGATTGCCTAGGTTGTTTTATTTAAGGGCAGATTTGGCAGATAGGTGTATTTGATGTACTAATTGTGACTTTGGTAACCTGTTTGAAAAGCAACAAGCCTTTGTACCCGCATTTAGCTTGTGTTCACATAATTTCAGAAAAGAGTGTGTTTACTACAATAAGCCCTTTGTGTCATGACTCTACACCTACTTATATTAATTGTACAAGTGATGCTGTAATCCTTCACTCAACCTTAACCCCTTAAGGACCAAGGCCTTTTTTTTTCATTTTTTGCACCCATGTTATAATCTACATTTTAGGCCTGAAAACTACTTAAAACTCCCAAATATTATGTATGTTCTAAAAGCAAAGACCCTATAGAATAAAATGGCGGCACTTTTTATGTTGCACGACATTAGCGCAACTTATTATCAAACCCCAAAATCTAGTGAAAAATGCACTTAAGTTAAATTTAGTGACCCAAAACACAAAATAAAACCATTTTTTTTGTAATATATAAAAGATGAGGTTACAATGAGTAAATAGATACCCAACATGCCCAGGTTAAAAATTGTGTGCGTCCCTGAAACTGCAACATAATTCAGTACCCCAAAAAGTCCATACATGACACTTTAAAAGCACCCACAGGTCATCAGTTTAGAGATACGTGTAAATTTTGGCCCCAGAATTATTGCTCTCATTCTGGCGTGCGTGGCGATATCCAACATGTGTAGCGAAATCATTGTTTTCGTACGTAGGTGGACCCGACGCTGGTTAACGCGACAACGCGCGTGCTCGCAGGGGCGGGGAATTTTCTTTATTTTTACATTTAATTTATTTAATATTTTTTCAACTGTTTTTTTTTTTTTTTTAACTTTACTTTAATTGTTATCACATAGTGGGGCTTACAAGCCCCCATGTGATAGCATAATGGCAGTGACAGGTACTCTTTAAGGTGATGCTGGGAGTCCAAAAGACCCCTAGTGTCACCTTTACACGAGAAATAAGCTATTGAAGTGCAGATCGCACTTCAGTAGCTTATTGCTGGGCTTCAGGAGCCCAGCACTGACAGCTATGGGACCAGAAGTGATGCAATACGCGTCGCTCCCGGTCCCATAGTAGGGGGAGGGGGGATCGGCAAACGGATGTCCCTCTCTTCCCCAGATTCCCGCTGACACCCGGTAAGCCGGTTTTGGGCCCGCAGGAGGGGCAGCGGAGCCCGGGAAACAAGGTAGGGGTGTTGGGCGGGGCGGCCCAGTTACTGGGTCGTAGAAGCGATCTGGTGGAAGCTGAGCTGCCAGAATCCCTTCTACTGTAAGGCCGGTCGCCGGCTCTACAAAACGGAACAGACTCCCGTCGAGAGTCTGTGCAACCCCTTCAGACTTCATGACAGGAATATCCCGTGATAGGTCATGAAGGAGTTAAACCCTTGCTACCAACAGCTTTAATATCAAGGACATCTCGGAAGGGAATTAAAACCTGAGTGTTAATTGTATACTTAAAGTAAAATTAAACACTCGTGTTTTTTTTTCTAGCAAGCAGTAGATATATGCAAAAACATTTAAAAAAATTAAAAAAAGTTACCAAATGGGTAATTAGTTACCTGTGTCTCCGCCGCTCGCTCCTGTCTGAAGATCTGAAGATTCTGGAGCTTCTGTGAAGGATCATGGGAGGCGGGCCCAACCTGCCTAGGGCCATTGCGGTGTTCATCTTCTCCAATACGTCCTTAAAATCCTATTCAAACACTGGCCTGACCAGTCAGAGTAATGGTACCTGATCGGCACATAACCTTCTAAAGATTTGGGATTTTTTTTTTTGTCTAAAGCCTGTTTTAAATTAAAATATATTACAAGAAAAACTTTACGTAGCCAGTGATTTATACTCGTTTCCAATGTAGGAGACAGAGCAAAAGATGGATATTCCACTGGTAGAGACCAGCAGCATAAAAAAAGATTAATAAATGAACCAGTTAAGCTCCCTATCTTTTTCGCAAATTTTGACCTTAGGCCTGCACATTCTGGAATGATTTTGCAATTGCTGATAATAATGAAGTGAATACATATAGTATCAAGGATTTCCTTTAGTGGTATTTTCTCCCAAGGATTATTGCATATTTATATTTTAAAGGCAAAAAGAAACATAAATTGACCAGTAAACAATGTTATCCTGGGATTTGCATAATTTATTTGTACACTTAAATTTGGTTTGCAAAGCCTATTTATTTACAAATGAATGAAAGGTGTAAATAATTTGTATATGTAGCAAATAAGTTGCGCTCGGTCTAGTTGTGAATGGATGTGAAAGTGCTCTCTCAAAACCCAAAGGGGGAGATCACCTTCAATTGTATATGTAGCTATTAATCCCAATACCACAAAAACTATGTGTGAAAAGAATAGTCTAGTTAAATAGGGGAGACAGAAAATGGCAAATAATTTCCTTTTTCCTTTTAGGCCTTGTTCACACACAGGTGACAGTGTTTCAGTGCGGATTCATCGCTTTTTTTTTTAGCGCTGTTTTGTGCTTTTTTGCGCACGGTTTTGCGCGTACATAAAGTTGCACGTTTTTATGAGCACTTTCGTGTAAATGGGCCAAACGGGAGCAAAAACGCGCACCAACAATTGCATCGCAGGTTTTCAAGCATTTCCTATTTAGTCTATGGGGACAAATTGCACTGATTTGGCCAATAAAAAGCTCATGTACTTTTTCTACTCGCAACACTACGCTCAGGTGTGAACGGGGACTATAGAAATAATTGAGATTTCTTGTTTTGGGCGTTTTAGAGCGGAAAAATACACGCAACAAAAGCCTAAGTGTGAACGGGGCCTTAAGTATTCTGCTTTAACTACTGTGTAACAAACCATTACATTGTAATAAACTGTACCTGCTTCAAACTACTGTAAAACTAACTCACTTTGGTACCAGTTGTCCAAAGCTGGTATCCTTTAAAAGCTGCAAGGACAGTTGACTAATCTGGAGGAAAAAGCTACGTTTTATATACTGCCATAAATACCACTGAGTGAGGTTTCAAAATAATACAACTCATTTTCATGCACAGTATGTAGCTAATTTCATGTTATTTTTACTTTATAATGTATTTGTGGATAACTACCAAATTGATACCAAGCTTGGCTTGCTCACAATGCTCCTCTCCTAAAATACACATTTTTTAGAAAATGAAGGACCACTAGCTTCATGTAATTTGAAAGTATTTTCCTGCTAGCATTGATTGCAGAGTTGTTATGAATGCACCACTGTCTGCACAGATTTATTGCTGCATAAAAAGAATTGGTTGTAATACTCTGAACCCTTTTGGCACATTTATGTGGACATTTTTGGGCTTTCTAATGTATTCCTGGTTACATTATTTTCATGTGTTTAAGTCAAACTTACGAGCACCAGCACCAGGCGGCAGGCAAGCAAACATTGAATAGCTTACTAGTGCAATAACGTTACTAAAATATCACATCGATGAACATTCCACGGATGTTTTGTCTTCTTTATTGTCTGTGTTGCAATAAAAATAATTTTGCACTTACAAAGTGATATGCATTTTGTGTACATCACATGGTACACCCCCCCTCCCCCCCCCACCCCCCCAAAAAAAAACCTATGTTAATTGCAGGTTGTAATACAGTAAAAGGGGAAAAAAC